ACCTTCACCTCTATGGCCTGTTTGTTGGCCCTCAAGGGCAAGTGGTTTGCTGCTATATGAAACAAGATGCTGGACTAAATGGACACATTCTTAAGTATTAGCTATGCAAAATGAAAAAAATTCCAAAGCTAAATACAATCTTAATTCTGTTCACACCCTAGAAACAAGCAAGCAGCTTTGTCAGAATGTTTACATACGATGTAGGCCTTAAAACTGAGAATTTCATATACAGTATTTTTACCATCAAAGCAGCAAGGACAATGCCCTTAGTACATACAATAAATAGGAAGTTTAGTGCAAGGAACTGGTAAAGCATGCCAACAATATAAAAAACAAACACCAAACACACATTACATTTCATGGCAGCCAAGACTCACACCGTACACAAAAGACAACCTACCAAACCTCCACAACAAAAGTTCTAACCGAAATCCCTTATCCTTGTACATAAAGCTTGTTGTACTTCTTTATTTTGATCGAGCATTTCATATGCTTCCTTCTTTCCCCACTCCTCTTAAAGTGCAATAATGGGACAGAATTCATATCAGGACATTTGCCCAGGCCTACTTAATTTTGGTACTGGTGGCAGTAGAAAGTGCCATGGCCCAAGTCACATCCAACTTGTGCTGACCCCTGTAGGGTCTACAAGGCAAGAGATGAACATTGCCTACCTCCACACAGCAGACTTGGGACTTCCTTAATAGTCTCCCATCCAAATACTAAACAGAGGCTACCCTGCTTAGCTTTTGAGAGCTGAGGACATAGGGCTAGCCTAAGCCATCCAGATCAGGGCAATCTTGGTGTTTCCACGCTGAATTTCACACTCTATGGTTATTTAGTTAGGAAAATATGGATTTCACCCTTCCATTCATTCTAAACAGCTCACAACTCACCCCTCCCAATCAAAACACATTAAATCAGAAATATCAGTAAAAACAAAACACAATCAAAAATATCACAGCCCAATAACAAGTTGAAGAAAAATATTTAACAATTATATACATGAACACACAAAGCTGCCTTATACTTAGATTCGAGCGCAGCAGCACTTTAGAGACCAACAAGAGTTTCAGAGTGCAAACTTTTAAGAGTCAAAAGCTCCCTTCGCCACTCACAGTTGTGTCTGCCTTAAACTGAATCTGAGAGTTGGTCCATCGAGGTCAGTGCTGTCTACTCAGACTGCCAGCAGCTCTCCTATGTACCATGCATAGAAGTCTTTCACGGCATCTACTACCAATGTTCCCTCTAAGCTGTAGAGTCTTGTGAGCAAAAATTCAATTTGTTTGGGCTCCTGGCATTAAAGTTGTGAGTGAGCGATTTGTCTGCTGCATAAATTAGTTTGCTCTGGAGCCATCCTTCCTGAGCTAAGACAAAATTTGTGAGCCGGAGGCTAAAAAACTGTGAGCTAGCTCGCACTAACTCAGCTTAGAGGGAACACTGTCTACTACCTGGTCCTTTTTCCCCACCGGAGATCCTGGGGACTTTCTGCATGCCAAACAAATGCTCTGCCACTGAGCCACAGGATCCCTTGCTGACTGGAGGAACCTATCTAGGAAAAGACACACAGAGGACCTTAAATTTTCTTGTTAAGTGTTCCTTCAGTAGTTGCTATTATGAGACCTCCAAACCACTTTTTAAAACTCTTCCCAACTTTACAAAGCAGTTTCTGGATCTGAAGTAAGCATCGTCTCTCCTGTGTACATTATTTTTTTCCTCCTGCAAGTAAATGTATTAGCTGCCTTTGCAGTAACTGAATGTGGGAGGCGGCAGTTAAAAATCTAATGAGCAAACTTGGCATCTGGTGTGAAGAACTGCTGGGTGGGATCCTTCCCCAATCCCACCACTCCACTGAGCAAAGTTCATTTGTGTATTTATTAAAATATTTATACCCCACCTTTCCATTTGGCTCAAAGTGTTCCCCCAATCGAAGGAGCCTTCCTCAACTTATGTGGCTCTTTCACTGGAGGAAGCTCCTCAGGCTGGAGGTGGGCTACTTGGAGGATGGTTGGATCCAATCCACTGAAAGGGAAATTGACAAAAGTGGTTGTTTCCCTCTGACAGCCATAATTATAAAGATATTATAGAAGAACCCCACCATGTTAAGAATAAGATACCAAATATTTATAATGGTTATCTAACATTCAGCAAATATACAATTCTTAAAGGGATAGTAAGGTAAAGGTGTAAAGGTAAAGGTTTCCTTGCTCGAAAGCCAGTCGAATCCGACTCTAGGGTTGCGGTGCTCATCTCCGTTTCAAAGCCGAAGAGCCAGCACTGTCCGAAGACATTTCCGTGGTCATGTGGCCGGCATGATTAAATGCCGAGGCGCACGGAACGCTGTTACCTTCCCACCGAAGTGGTACCTATTTATCTACTTGCAATTTCTTGCTTTCGAACTGCTAGGTTGGCAGGAGCTGGAACTAGAGACGGGAGCTCACTCCGTCTTGTGGCACCTGGGTCTCGAACTGCTGAACTACCAACCTTCTGGTCTGCAGTTCAGTGTCATAACCCCTTGATCCACCACAGCCCCTAAAGGGATAGTAAAGGTAAAGGTAAAGGTTTCCTTGCTCGAAAGCCAGTCGAATCCGACTCTAGGGTTGCGGTGCTCATCTCCGTTTCAAAGCCGAAGAGCCAGCACTGTCCGAAGACATTTCCGTGGTCATGTGGCCGGCATGATTAAATGCCGAGGCGCACGGAACGCTGTTACCTTCCCACCGAAGTGGTACCTATTTATCTACTTGCAATTTCTTGCTTTCGAACTGCTAGGTTGGCAGGAGCTGGAACTAGAGACGGGAGCTCACTCCGTCTTGTGGCACCTGGGTCTCGAACTGCTGAACTACCGACCTTCCACAGCCTGCAGTTCAGCGTCTTAACCACTTCAGCCACCGCATAGTATAACACTACAAAGGTAAGTACAAAGTGCAAATAATAAGACTTTAGCATTCTTTGTACTTACCTTTGTACTGTTGTAAAGGGATAGTACTACACTATAAAGGTAAGTACAAAGGATGCTAAAGTCTTATTATTTTTTGTCTTTTCTTCCAGATTCCTGAAGAGATCCTCCAGCTTCCCAGCAAATGTGCTACGGGTGTGGGTGCGTTTTTGCAAACTCCTTCAAAGTTGCATATAATGCAAAACTGTCACATGGAACCCAGGCCTTTATATGTTATTTCCTGGCATTGATTTGCTCTCCACAGAATAAATCCACCCAGGCCTTTATATGTTATTTCCTGGCACTGATTTGCTCTCCACAGAATAAATCCTTCTGAAAGTAAAGGCAACTGTCTGCTTCATTACAAAACGAGAACCTTTTTCCCAGTTTGATCACTGCGAAACTGGGGGATCTCTTCAGAAATCTGGAAGAAAAGAGCAAGCATAATAAGAGACTTTAGCATCCTTTATACTTACCTTTGTAGTGTTGTACTATCCCTTTAAGAATTGTATCTCTTTGTAATAATATTTGGAAAGATTACTGAATGTTAGATAACCATTACAAATATTTGTCATCTTATTCTTATCACGGTGGCATTCTTTTCTATAATAGCTACGGAACACCATGGTCCTTTTTAATGTATATTATAAAGATGGCAGAAAAAAATACCAAGTGAGAAACACAGAAACATTCCTCCTAAGGATCACCTATTCATTTTGTATGACACCCAGCTCTTCCTGTTGAATAAACTGCCAGAGGCAGTCCTCTCAGCCCTGACTGGGTATCTGGATGCCACGGTTGGGTGGTTGAGGCAGAGTTGGCTGAAGCGGAATCCAACCAACACTGAAGTCATGTGGCCGGGGAGGACTGGACTGGTGTGTGTGTGTGTTGCAGCTGCCTACCCTGGACGATGTCCAACTTACTCCAGTGACCTCCATGAAGAGTTTGAGGGTCTGGCTGGATAACCAGGTGTCCTCAGTGGCAAAACAGGCTTTTTTCTATTTCCGCCAGGCCCAACAGCTGTCTTCCTACTTGTCCAGGTCTGACCTTGCCACAGCAATTCATGCGACTGACACCTCCAGACTAGATTACTGCAGTTCACTCTACACAGGGCTGCCCTTGAAGGCGCTTTGGAAACTTCAGGTTGTTCAGAATGCAGTTGCCAGGCTGTTGACTGATTCGTCATGGTGTGCACACATCCAGCCTATTTTGTGGCAACTGCACTGGCTTGCAAATGGTTTCCAGGTCAAATTCAAGGCGCTGGTATTAAACTTTAAAGCACTAAATGGTCTGGGACCATCGTACCAAAAAGAACACCTCTCCTATTATGACCCCACTCGGTGTCTTTGTTCTGGCACAGGTGGGCTTTTGGTGGTGCCTGGCCCTCGTTCCACCCGTTTGAGTGTGACAAGGGCAATGGCCTAACCACCGTGGTCCTGACCTGGTGGAACACTTTGTCTGAGGAGACGTGCCCTGCAGGACTTGTCTGAGTTCTGCAGGGCATGTAAGTCAATGTTATTCCACCAGGCAGTCCAGTAATGTAATGTTGGTGGACTCTGCCATCAACACTGTTGATTTTCTATGCCAAATGCATTAGTTTGCTGTGTGATGTGATTTTAATTGGATTTTATTGAAATTATGGTTTTATCTTTTTTACTGTATTGCTACATTGTTAGCTGCCTTGAGGCCCATCCTAGGGGAGGGGCAGGATAAAAAATTGAATAAAACAAAACAAAAATAATCATATTGGCACAAACAAAGCATAATTCTGACCGCTTAGAATCGGTCATCGTCCTTAGCTGTCCCCCTCTACATGCAAAATCTGACCGCTTAGAATCGGTCATCGTCCTTAGCTGTCGCCCTCTACATGCAAAATCTGACCGCTCAGAAGTGGTCATCGTCCTTAGCTGTCCCCCCCTACATCCCACCCTGAGCAGTACATATCGAACCACACATAAATATATACATCTAACTCCAAAGACACTGAGCAGGAAGCACTACATTCAGACATACACAATGACACATAAACATAAACACAGTTGGGAAGGATCCAGAGCAAGCCTTCTGGCTATAGAGCTGCATGGAACTTCATGTGGAAACGGAACTCTTCTGCTTCTAGGAACGTTTTGCCACACACTGTACACGTACAGCCTTTGTCTTTATTACTGTGAGTGCGCCGCACGTGACTGTCGTGGGCTGCGTGTGAAGCAAAGGCCTTGCCACAGTGTTTGCACTTAAAGGGCTTCTCTCCTGAATGCTGGCGGATGTGAGTACGCAGGATACTGGAGGCGGTGAATGCCTGTGGAGGGGGGGGGGAGGAGAGGAAAGGAAGGGTGAGAATGCCATTAGATTCAAATACACAAAAGTAACAGCCCAACCCGGGGAGTCCTAGAGACATGCACAGTGGTCAGAACTAGTGGTCAGAGTTAGATGACCTGCTGCTTCACCATAGGATTGCGGTTGTTACAAAAAACATTCAGACCAAAATTTAAAAAAATTAAATGGAAACGATAGCAGGTCCTCCCAGCCTCCCGCATCATGCCTAGGTTGGCCCCAACGCATTCCAAGAAGAGGAAATGGCAACTGGCAGAATGTAGCAGGGTGAAATATCCCAAGAGAACAGCTTGGAGAGCCTTGGAGAGCTTTACCTTGTTACAGTACACACACTTATAGGGCCGTTCCCCAGAATGCACCCTCATGTGCTTGTTGAGGCTGGAAGACTGAGAGAAACTCTTCCCACATATGGAGCACTGAAGCAAGAAAGAGAATGGGTCATATTAGGTAAGACTATGAGAGATGCAGGATACATAGTGATCTCTTTTATACTGCTGAGAGATGCAGGATACATAGTGATCTCTTTTATACTGCTATCTAGAAGGCACTGAACTGTGCAAGCTTTTCACATATACACATGAACAATGCATTGTTTTGTTGCATTGTTCTGTAAATTTGTAATCCACCTTTATTGCACTTTGTTGCATATGTATTATATTGCTTTAGTGCATTGCTTTTTAATTGCACAACCTCTCTCACGTTTCAGCAAGAAAGGTGGACTATAAATGAAATTAAGCAGATGAAAACAGACTACAGGGCCTGCTGGAGAAGGCAGGGCACACTAACTCAAATAAATAAAATAGTCTCCACAAGAAGAGAAGAGACAATCCTGTTTTCCATTGTTATGGCATTTAAACATGACAAAAAACAGCAATAAACAACAAAAGCTTTTAATGCATATGAAGCTGCCTCATACCGAATCAGATCCTTGGTCCTTCACAGTCAGTATCGTCTACTCAGACCAGCAGCAGCTCACGTAAGAACATAAGAACATAAGAGATGCCAATGTTGGATCAGGCCAAAGGCCCATCTAGCCCAACACTCTGTGTCACACAGTGGCCAGAAATACCAGGTGCCATCAGGAGGTCCACCAGTGGGGCCAGGACATTAGAAGCCCTCCCACTGTTGACCCCCTCCCCAAGCACCAAGAATACAGAGCATCACTTGCCCCAGACTGAGAGTTCCTAGCTATACCTTGTGGCTAATAGCCACTGATGGACCTCTGCTCCATATGCTTATCTAATTCCCTTTTGAAGCCGTCCATGCTTGTAGCCGCCACTACCTCCTGTGGCAGTGAATTCCATGTGTTAATCACTCTTTGGGTGAAGAAGTACTTCCTTTTATCTGTTCTCACGTCCTGCGTGGGCCTTCCACACACCAAGGGGATACTCTACCACTGGGCCACAGACATAGGCACAATGAAAATGAAATTCAAGCCAGCTGGAAAAACTGAAAAACTGTTTTTGAAATATGCAGCCAACTAGAACTTTTGATATAGTCCAAAATTGAATTGAAATATTCTAGGAATCATTTTGGTCTCACATCTATACTTGAAAATAATTACTTTTAACATAGTTTGTAGCCTTAACAGACATTAAAACAGAGCAGTCTTTTTGTTGCCATGCTCTATTCTTCCCTAAAAGAAAGAAAATACAGCCAGTTCTAAAAGATCCATTTGATTGGGGTCAAATGTTGGGTCCTTTATTTCAATCATCCTGTACTGCGCCTATCAGACTGTAAATGCTGGCTCATGGGCCATCAATCTGACTGCTTTAAATATACGGATTTTTTGGTAATTCACTCTTATCTGGAATAATCAAAGATCATCTCTAAAGAGACTTGTCTGGATTCAAAAGAGTAAAAAAACCAAAAACCAAGATTTAGGAGGTTAGAAGTTGGGAACCAACAGAAAGCAACAGAAGTGCAGAATAAGTACCAACATAACACATTAAGCATTCCAGAACTTACATAATAGGAAGGATGCTACTTACAATAAGCTATACACAGCAGTATAGGCCACAGACCGCAATAATCACTTATCCAGGTAAGTTTGTGAACCATTTTGTCCAGTGCCACTCTATGAGCTGCCCAGAAAAGCCCTCTGGAATCCGTCACTTTCCCTTGGCTTGCAGGCAGCCAGGGGAGGGGACACTGCCCCGACCTCCTCCAGCCGCAGGCCATTCCACCAGGCAGGGGCCACCAAGGAGAGAGCCGGAGTAGGTGTGCGGCATTCAGGAAATGGGGAGGCCAGGCAAAGAGACGGCAAAAACAATCCCCACCGGGGTCTAAATTCTCACACAGACACACCCACACACCCTCTCCTATTCGCAGTCCTGCTTCTCAGGCCGTGACAGTTCAGGCCGGTGCCTGGAGGGCAGGGAGCTGCCCCGCTCCAGGGCGTCTACCCTCAAACCCTTGCTTTTCTGTCTCCAAGACGCGCGACTGGTCAGCCGGGGACGGGACTAGCTAAATGCTAAACGAGCCTTCAGTGGGGTAACAACAACGATCCTCTGCGGGCGGCCGCTCTTTCTCAGGCACTCCGTTTGGAAAGCGGAGGACTTTGCGGGGGACGGCGTCGCCTCGGGCAGCCGCCCCTCACCCCCCCCCGAGCGGCTTTTTGACAAGCGAGCCTGTAGCCTTCAGGGGCCCCCAGCGGCGCCTTCGAGGGCTCTCGTGTGGCGATGCGCGCGCGGCCCCCCCCCCCGCCCATCCCACGCGCTCCATCCCCTGCTGTCCGAGGCGGCGGCTGCAGCCCGCCTGGCTCCGTTGCTCGGCGGCGGAGGGGGAGAGAGCGCTTGCGCCCCGGCTTCGGGCACTTGAAAGAGTCCGGGAGGCAGGGCGGGAGGTGAGAGGCGAGGCGAGCCTTACTTTGTGGGGCCGGTGCTTCTCGTGGACGTGGAGGACGTGGATGCGGAGGCGGTCCCTTTTCTCGAAGGAGCGGTTGCAGAGGTGGCAGGGGAACTTGCGGTCGCCGCGGTCCACGCAGCGCGTGTACTTCAGGTGCTTGTCCCGGTAGTACTTGTAGGCGAAGACCTTTCCGCAGCGCTCGCATTTGTAGCCTTCCGCCGACTCTGCGGGACGGAAGGGAAAATGAGTGGCCGGCGAGCGGAGCAGGCGGGGGGGAACAGCCGCCACCCCACGTCCTCCCTTCAAAGCAAACAGATCAGTAACAATAATACGTCCCAGCCCCGACAAGAGGTCATATCTGCATACTGCCAATGGGGGGGGGTCTGATCCAACAGGGCTCATCTCCTTGGATTACAACTGATCTCCAGGCAATTGAGATCAGCTCACCTGGAGAAAATGGCCATTTTGGAAAGTGGACTCTATAGCATTATACCCTGTTGTGTATTAAGTTGGCCACTGCCACATGGGCCCGACCATGCACTCCTACAGACCTTCTGACCTTCGGTCCTAGAACAATAGCCAGCTCAGATCCTAGCGCGGACCAATAGGTTTGCACGGATCCGGACAGGAAACTATGGGGAATGTGGACGGGTACATAGAACCTGGAGCTGCGGTGGCTCAAGGGGTTAAGATGCTGAACCGCAGGCTTTGGAAGGTCGGTAGTTCATCAGTTCGAGACCCGAGTGTGCCGCATGATGGAGTGAGCTCCCGTCTCTAGTTCCAGCTCCTGCCAACCTAGCAGTTCGAAAGCAAGAAATTGCAAGTAGATAAATAGGTACCACTTCAGTGGGAAGGTAACAGCGTTCCGTGCGCCTTGGTGTTTAGTCATACCAGCCACATGACCACGGAAATGTCTTCGGACAGCGCCGGCTCTTCGGCTTTGAAACGGAGATGAGCACCGCAACCCTAGAGTCGGATTCGACTGGCTTTCGAGCAAGGGAACCTTTACCTTTACTCAGAAATACATCCCACTTTAGCCAATGGGGCTTACTTCTAGGACCGCGTTCTCAGGATTGCAGCCACCATAATCTGTAGCTTGTTCCTTTGCATGTTTACTCGAAAGCAAGACTCACGGATTTCAATGGAATTTACGCAAAAGTAAATAGGCGTAGCCCGCGTTGCAGCGTTACGCTCAAGTGTCAAGGGAACAATTACTCCGCTAGAATTTAAAATTGCTGTTCCTTTTGAACAAGTACGCGAAGTGATCCGAGGCACCCCCGTCGGATGCCGGGAGGGAACCCCAGCTGATCTGTCGCAGCAAACCCGGAGAAAAGTCGTGGGCTTTCAACAGTCGCTGAAGCCCATAGTTTCCTGGCCTAGAGCCGCCCACGCCATCAGAGACACGCGCTGTTTCGGAACACGTACTGATGCCTTGATAAACCGGTTAAGTCTTGGGATGTTTAAAATTTGTTTACCTTATTTATAGTCCGCCTCTTTCTCACAGAGACCACTCGAAAGAAACGGAAGCATAATTTACAACAGGCTGTATACATCAGTAAGGACCACAAGTCCCAGCCATTTGTCCAAGGAGGTTTGTGAACCATTTTGTACTTGGGTGGCCCTCTTACCTGCGCAGAAAGGCCCTCTTGAACAGTTCAGTTTTGCACCGTTAGGACCGCCGTTTCCCACCCTCAGTGGATCAGCCTCCCTCTACTCCCTGCCTGCTACTGGAAATCCTGGGGCTCTCTGAAGGGCCACCGCCAACAGAAGATTAATTTAAAGCCAATCTCTCCTTAATCAGCTTTCTTTATCGATACAAAGCCCAAGAGCCTGAGGGCGGCATTCCCCAGTATGAGTCAGCGGTAGACCTGCCCGAATAATAACGCCTCTAGGCAGAAACTGGCCAGATTTCTCTTTGTATAGAAACGTCTTTTGCCTTGAAAATGACAGATCCCGGGAACAGCAGAAGAGAGACGTCATCCCCAGAGATTTGCATCTGTTTGTCCCTTCTTTGGTAGGGATATTTACAAACAAAGGAGTCAGACGCTGGAAAGGGAACTGGCAATTCAGGGCCAAATTTTCAATTGAAAACAACAACAACAACTAACTATATCTAGAAGAGTGATGAGGTTCCGATGGGGGTGGGGGGAGGAAGGAAGGAGGGAGGGGGGTGGCCACCTGGGACCTTTTTTATGATCACATCTCCTCACTCCAGGGAAATATACAGGCTTGCTTAACACAGTTTTGATTTGTTTGGGTTTGGGGTGACAGTTTAAACCATGATGTTCTTTCAGAGTTATCCAGCTGAAAACAGCCAGATTCTTGGATGCTTACAGTGTGAACCATGCAGGTCTGCTCGAGAGTAAGCTCCATTGTAGTCAGTGAGATGTGATGCTATGTAAACGTGTCCAAGTAAAATACTTGGGGACTTTGGTATCATCAGGTAAAGGGGGGGGGGGGATCTTCTAATTAAATAGGGACCGAGGGAGGCTGGGAAGATGTGCCCAGAGCCCCTTTCCCTGGGCCCGCAAAGTTGCCAACTGACCTTCGCAGTGCTGCTGGGCTCGCTTCCCTTCCGCGGGGCCCTTCAGACTGAGGGGGATGCCCAAGAACTGCAGGTAGCCATCGCCGTACCAGACGAGCAGCTCTTGGCCGGGCGAGATCTCCTTGCAGGTCTCGTAGTAGATCCGGCCCTGGCACTGAAGGGCAGTCATGTTCTGCTCCTCCGGGAAACGAGCGCAGTTCACCAAGGCCATCCAGTTGCCAGACGCGCCTCTGCCGTCGATGAAGTGGCTCAAGCGACCGTCCTCGAAGATCTGGCCGGAGGACAAACATTACCCTCAGCGGCAAACGCAGGCGGCAGCAACCCCAGACCTCCTGCTGCCTGTGGCACAAGGGACCCCCCAAGTCCACCACCCCCCATCAGACGGCAAAGGCGGCCATTGCTCGGTCTAGATCTCTGGTCCCTAGAGAGTGTTGGAAACTCGACTGCTGCGAGATCCTCCGCAGCCCCTCCAAGAGACTTCTTGGGTGTCTGCTATTTGCCTTCGGGGAGGCGTTCTGCGGAATGGCAGTGGCCCGTCGCTCTGCGCCATGGCCCGTCAGGACACTTCCAACATGTTTGAGTTGGCGGTGGCGCAGTCCGGTGTCCCGCCTCTGCCCCCTAACCCGCCCAGCCCGGCCCTAACCTCCGTGGGTGGGGCTCCTGGAGTTCAAGGAAACCGGCCCCGAGCTGACATTCCCAGCGGGTCGGAGGAGGCAGGAAAGCATTTGGGGCGGGGCAGCAGGTACCTCCCACATCAAGGAATTGTCGTCGTACGTCTTGATCTCGCTGGTGTTGACGACCCTGCCTTGGAAAGGGCCGAAGCGGACCCCCCTGGGGATGGCCTGGGTGCAAAAGACACCGAGCTGGGGACCGTCCACGTACACCGTCTGCAGCACGGTCAGCCCTGCCGGACAGGAGTGGTCAGAAGGAGGGAGGGAGGGAGGGAGGGAAGGGAGGCGTCCATGCAGGGGCCCCCGCCCCCCCTCCGCCCAGCCCACCTACCTTCAGGGAGCTGCAGAGACGCCTGGTCTGGGAGCAGAGGGTGGCCGTCAGCAGAGCCTCGAGGGGAAAGAAAGTGTTTAGGCGCGCTGGGCACCGGAAGGGGGAAACGAGTTCTTGGCGCACCGCGATCTAACCCACTCGGGGTTGGGGGGTCAAAGCAGGAGAGGATTTATCTAACCTGACGGATTTAGAAACTGCTCAACACATTTACTTGGCAGTAAATACCACGGAGCCTGTGGGGTTTGTTTCGGAATAAACGTGGTGGTAAACGTAGGTTTTTACTCTGGCAAAGATACTTGGAGCCTCCTGCTTCCCAGCATGCCTGGTCGGACTCTGCGAACGGCGAGGCTTAAGGGACCCCCACCGCTCCTGAGCAACTACGGGGGGGGGGCGCAAGTAAAGGGGTTTCTGTCCCCCTCCCACGCGGTACATTTTCGCCCTCGGAATGCAAAGTCTCTTTCGTCCAATTACTTTGAACGAATAAAATTAAGATTGCACTAATTTCATGTAAACGACCTCGGGGAAACCTCTGGCGAGAAGGTAGCCATTTCCCTCCAGCTGTGCGCGCACGCACACCCCCCCAATCCCAGGCCACGTGCTGGGAGGCCGGCCGGCATCGCGGGAGTCCCGCCTTACCTGGGCTGTGGGGCTGGCGCGCGGCTGCCGGGAGAGCCCCGTAGAGGACGGCGTGGAGCTCCTGAGCAGTGAAGCGGTAGGTGGGCGAGCGCGGGGCGGCCTCCGGCGAGCAGCTCTTCCTGGGCCAGGCTCCGTCGGGCTGGAAGGGCGCGGCCAGCAGCGGGAGCGGCCGGGGCAGAGATGGAGGCGGAGGAGGCGGGTGGGGGGCGCCGAAGGCTGCTGCTGCTGCTGCGGGGGGCAGGGGGCGCGGGAAGGGGAAGGGCCCCAGGCGGGGAGAGCCGCTGGGCAGCCTGGACGTCGGGGCCTGGAAGGGAGGGGGCGGCAGCGCCTCCAGGAAGCGCGGCGGGGCCCCCACCGGCCCGAAGGAGGAGAGCTGGCAGCCCCGCAGAAGCAGCAGCAGCGAGTCGCCTTCACCGGCCTCCTTGGCAGCTCCAGGCAGCGAAGAGGCCATCGAGGAACCCGCCGTCGGACACACCAGGAGGCGCGCCTAGGCAAAGGTCTGGGGGGGGGGCGCCGCGCCCCAGCTCGTTTCGCGCGTTTACCTGGGGGGGAAGAGAGCCGGGTCAGCGGGGGACCCGCTCCTCGGGCCGCAGCAGTGTCCCTCCGTCGTTCTCCTGCGGGCCCTTCATGGCCTCCTCTCCGCACGCGGGCGGGCACAACTCTTCCTCCGGGGATCTGCAAGAGAGACGTGCGCGTGGGTACGCAGGCGGCTGCCTCCCGGCTAACCGGGGGACAAGACCTGCGGGGTCTTCTTGACTCAGGCATCCCGCCGAAAGTTTCTCCCGCCAGAAATACCTTGAAGATCTTGGGGATGCAACAGAAGACGGGTGCAATCTTTGGCACATTTCCCGCGGAGTGTTATGGAACGACCTGGGAATGTTCCCTCTAAGCCGTGGAGTCTTGTGAGCAAAAATTCTACTTGGTGAGCTCCTGGCATTAAAGCTGCGAGCGAGCGATGTGGCTACTGCATAAAGTAGTTTGCCCTGGAGCCATCCTTCCTAAGACAAAAATGTGTGAGCCGGAGGCTAAAAAACTGAGCTAGCTCACACTAACTCAGCTTAGAGGGAACACGGGTCCCAGGTAGTGTTCCCTCTAAGCTGAGTTAGTGTGAGCTGGCTCACAGGTTTTTAGCCTCCGGCTCACACATTTTTGTCTTAGCTCAGGAAGGATGGCTCCAGGGCAAACTACTTTATGCAGTAGCCACATCGCTCGCTCGCAGCTTTAATGCCAGGAGCTCACCAAGTAGAATTTTTGCTTACAAGACTCCACAGTTTAGAGGGAGCATTGAAGACTTACTTTAGAGTAGGCCTACCTAGAATCACGCTGCAGGAGAACAGCGTCTCAGGGTTTTGCCCTTAAGGGTGCCGATCCCCTACTATCTAACTCCTTGCAGTCTCCAGCGAATGCTTCTTTGTCTAATCTGCCCCCTAGCCGAAGAAGCAGGAGAAGAGATTGGATTAATACCCCGCCCTTCACTGCCCCGAAGGAATCTCAGCGATTTAACAATCTCCTTTAAAGAGACACGCTGTGAGGTAGGTGGGGCTGGCAGAGCTCTCTCGAGAACGGCCCTTGAGAGCCGCTCTGTGAGAACTTGTAAGTGGGCCAAGGTCAGCGCAGCAGCTGCATGTGAAGGAGGAGCCGGGAATCAAACCCGGTTCTCCCAGCGTAGAGTCCGCGCTCCTAACCACTACACCCGTCCGGCCTTAACCTCAGTCGGCGGGGCTCCTGTCCTTCCGGCAAACCGGGCCTGGGCTGAGGATCCCCGAGAGAAGGATTCGTTCCGGATTTAAACCTCTCTCAACGGCTCTGTGCCAAAGAGGCCCTCGGAGTTTCCAGCCTCTCTCCTTCCCCAGGGTTGTCTCCCTCCCGGTCGCCTTCTCACAAGACCCCACAGTTTAGCAGCAGATCGTTCCCTGGATCCTTCTACTTGGGGGTCAGTTTCAGGCGCCCTCCTCTCCCGCCCCGTCTCGTCAGGTCTTGGAAGTCAGGACTGGGCTGGGAGACCACCAAGGAAGTCCAGGGTCGCCACGCCGGCAGGGGCAAACCGCCTCTGGATCCAAGCTTGCCTTGGAAATCCTCTCCCCAAGTCAGCCGCAACTTGACAGCATTTCCCCCCCCCCTCCGTCCATCCATCCCTCCCTCTCCACCCGCGCAGCTCTCTCCCGAGGGCAGGGAGGCACCGAGTCACGCAGCCTCAGGCACACCCGCACGTCCCGCCTCCGGGCATACGGCTCAGAACCCATCCAGAGTCCGGGGGCACCTTTAACACCAGCCAGGGCTCGTTCAAGGTATGAGCTCTCGTGTGCAAAGGCCCACTTCTTCCAGATACATTTCCCCAAGTGCGAGGCACAGGGGAAGCTCAGACCAACGACGACAACCTTTAATAGCCTATCACAGCCTCATAAACCAGCAAACCCCCCCCCCCAAACCAATAACCCTTGACACTTCTTAATACCAGCTCTCCTCTTGACAGCAAAGGGTAGGAATTTAGCCACCATTTCCATTTTCAGGACGCAAGGGCTGGAGAGCAGGGAGAGTGCCTTCCACTCATCGGATCGGTTTCCATGATCACTCAGCCATGGCTCCAGAAATGAGGCCGGGAGATCACAGTCATAAGAACAATGCAAAAGGACATGATCGAGACTTTCGATCACGTCCATAGAAAGCTCGCGCCTGGAATGAAGCGTTGTTGGTCTTAAGGCTGCCCCTGGACTCTCAGTGTGTTCCAGTGTTCCCTCTAAGCTGAGTTAGTGTGAGCTAGCTCACAGTTTTTTAGCCTCCGGCTCACACATTTTTGTCTTAGCTCAGGAAGGATGGCTCCAGAGCAAACTAATTTATGCAGGAGCCAAACTGCTTGCTCACAAATTTAATGCCAGTAGCTCACAAAGTAGAATTTTTGCTCACAAGCCTCCATAGCTTAGAGGGAACATTGGTGTGTTCTACCGCTTGATACCCACACGGCTGCCCACCCGGAACTATGTTCAGAACACGCTGAGAGACACCTGCTGAGACAACGCAAGGGTCGTATGGGGGGGGAGGGTGGCCAAGTGGTTCCCCCGGAGGCCTTCGTTTCAGCCTCTCCAGTCATGTTTGCTTCTGTGATCTCTTTTTCCTCCTCTACCTCCTCCCCACAAAAACGGGGGGGGGGGGGGGGGGGGAGAAGAGAAGAACCAGAGAAGGGGCAGAAACTCCACTGCTGCCCGCGTAGCCCTGTTGGACTGCAACAGAAAAGCTAGACCGGACTCCAGCCGCACCCCAGAGAGCGGCACTCCGTGCGGGCTGTAAACTGCCGAGGCCCCCGGCGCCCTTGGTCAGCTGGCAGGGAACTTTGGCACCGAAAAGCTTAGGCCCCGGGGGTGCGGTTGGCCTTTCGGGTCCTGCTGGGCTCGAATCTGGCTCTCCTGCAGGGCGTCAGGGAAGCCCTCCCGCCCGCCCGCCCTTCCTCGCCGGTCGCCTTCGCCGGAGCCGTGGGGCATGCATGTGCCAGGCGCCCAGAATCATGCGCTCCGCCGTCTCCACCAGGGGCCTGGGTGCGACGCCACCCCTGCGGGGATGCTGCCAGGCCAGGGGCTGGCGAGGGAGGAGGGGACGGGCGGGGAGCTTCGCCCTGCCACCGTCCGCTCGACAGGCGTGCCGCTTCCTTCCCACGGATCTCCGTCCGCACCCCTTCCTCGAGCCCCACGAAGCCCGGACACGCCTGCCTCCCTCCCCTTGGCCCTGGCCGCGCCGACCCGGCTCCCCCGGCTGCGCAGCTGGACCGAGCTCCTTCCTTCCCTTCTC